TCGTGCGCTTTACAAGCTTTAGCCAATTCATATTGGAGATCTTGTATCGCTGTATTTTTTCGATTCAACATATCCTTAAATGTCACATTAAACGTTATGTTTATTAGGTTTTAACAATTCTTATGATTATGAATAAATTCATATTGCATAATAAATATCTCATAAAATATTTTATATTATAAAAATTATGCAGAAAAGAAAAAAGAAATGAAAGTAAATTAAAAGAGTAATAGAAAAGAAAAATTATATACATATATATTTATATATATATATATATATAATATATAATATATAATATATAATAATATAAAATATATAATATATAATATATAATATATAATAAATATATAAATATATATGTATATATATAATTTATCCTGTTTATTGTTTAATAATTCTACATTATTATATAATATAGAATTTTTTATGCAACATAAAAGAAATAAAAAAGAAATTATAAATTTAATACCTTCAAATTTGTAATTTAATAATTATTATGATTTAAGGCAAAAAATATGGAAAATTGATATATAAATAAATACCTCCAATTTTTTATTTACATTCATGACAGCTGTAGGATCTAAATGAGCAGCAGCCAAGACTTCGCTAATTTGAACTTCGCGTTGCTCTAACAATTCAGATAATTTTTCTAATTTTTTTTCTAATAGTACATTTTTTAAGCCAGTCTTTTGTTGCAATTCCAATATGGCTGATACGAATCTAGAATGAAGATCGTCTCTTTCCGATTGACACTAAAAAAAATTATTCTCTTTTTTTCTTTTGGATCCGTGTAATATCATAAAAATATTTATATGGATTTTATTAAAATTTCTTAAATGATATTATACTTTCTCAAATCGTAATTCCAAAACTTCATTCTCCCATTTTAAATTGTCATAATCCTTGATAGTCAACGACAGTTTTTTTTTTGTATGCTAAAATAATAATAACAATAATAATAATAATAAGTTAGTATATTAATCATTAATATGCAATTTCTCTAGTAAGAAATGTTAAATAATAATTGCAAATATATACTTACGGATAAACATTGCTTATCTTTTTCATAATTAACAAGTTGTCGTGTATAATCGGCTACTTTTTCTCTCAAACTCTTTAATTCCGTAGAAAATTGTTTATTTTCCACTGTTAACTCGCGTACCTGTTTCTTCATTCTATCTTCGTTATTCTTCATTAGTTCCATTTGTTCCTACATAAAAAGAAAAAAAAAAAGAAGAAAAAGAAAGAAACAAATGAAATTTTTAAACGAATTTTAAACAAAAAAGAAAAGAAAAAAATTCCAAATTCGAATGTGAAATCATACGAGTCTACATTTTTTCTTTTTTTTTTTTTTTTCAATGATACATACATATATACCTTCATACTTTGAATAAGTGACAAGTTATTTAAAGTAATATCATTGTAATAAGTTTTCATCTCTGTAAATGCAGTTTCATGATTTTTAATCAAAGTGGAAATTTGTAAATTTTTTCTCTCCTCTATTTCGGTAATTTCCATTTGATGTTTCAAGGTCAATGATTCGTATTGATTCGTTAATTTTTGCTCGTACTTTTGTTCCAATTCTATTGCTTCCGATTCGAATTTTTTCATGATGTTACTTATTTCTTCGGCATGATGCTGTTAAAAAATAAAAATCATTTACAATTTTATATTATAATCCAAATAAAAATTAATTCAATAAAATTATTAATACTATATCAATAATATTATTTCCAAATGCTTTAATAATATTAAGCATTAATTATTGTTACATAAAATTGTACAAAAAGATATATCTAATTTTTTAAATAAATTCTCCAAAAAAAAGAAAAAAAGAAAAAAAAAAGGAAAAAGAAGAAAAAAGAAGAAGAAAACTCCGATATTAAAATTAATTCAATACATTATTACATATAAAATATATAATAAGAGTTTACAAAAAATTCAAAATATTATTATTTGCATGATAGATGCAAATTGAAAAGGTCATGTAATAATGATTATTATCTTACAAGTTTCAATTCATGCATTTCATTCAAACGAGCCACTTCCTGTTCCCTTTGTGCTTTCTTTAATTCCTTTTTATCCCTAATGAGCTCGTTCTCTTGAGATACATGATCATCTTGCGCCATTTTAAGAGCAACCAAATGGTCTGCCTTTGTTTCAGACAAATTAGTCTGGTGTTCATACATCAAGTGCTTTACTTTTTGTTTGTACAATTTCATTTCCGCATCGTGCTTTTCCTGAAGTTCTTCCTTCTCTCGTTCTTTATTCCTAAACAAAACAAAACAAAACAAAAATATATATATATATATATGTATACTACTCTTAACATAAATAACACGCTACACTTTAAATATATACTGAATAAATCACGATGAAATATAGAGTATTAAAAAAAAAAAAAAAATATTTTTTTTTAAATACTACATCAGAATTTTTATTAAAATCGAATACCCTATATATTAAAAAAAAAATCGATATTATAAAAATATTTTATAACATTTTAATAAATAATAATTACCTAACAATGGCACGTGATTCGTCCAATTGATGTCTCGATATTTCCCAAAAAGTACGTAATTTATCTCTTTCTAATTGAAAGAAATTTCTTTCCTCCCTTTCACGTTCCATCTCTTCTAATATCTTATGAGCATATATCTCAAGTTGTTCTCTATTCATTTTTGATGTATCCACTCCATCGACGGTGTCCATTGTCTTACCCTTTGCCTTTTTAGGCCCCTATAAAAAAATATTTCACATAAAATAAAACAATTTTACTCCACTAAAAAAAAAAAAAAAAAAAAAAAAAAAGAAAAAAATAAATAAAAAGAAATTATTTAATTATATATAAGAGAACTATTGCATATAATAAAGTAACTCACCATTTTTGTTCGTTCGAAACTTCACTGTAAAAAATACCTTTTTAAACACACTTAAAATAGTTTCTTGATTATAATCGATAAATCATTTACAATATATCCCAATAATTAGATATAGTTCGTAATGAAATAAATGAGGTAAAGTATTGCGTATAAAAAAATTAATGAGTTTCTTTTTTTTTTTCTTTTTATTTTTTATTTTGCAAGAAAAAGAATTAAAAAGTAATGTGAGACACTGAACTATCACGTTAATGACTTCGGTCTCGTGGTACAGAAATGTTTGGCAATTTAGTTACCAAGCAACAGAATCTATATGACATACTTGTATACTTCAACAAAATTTAAAACATAGAAATGAATATGCCATATACATAGTTCTTTTGCCATTTCAAAGTTTCAAATTAAAAATGAGGCAAAAAGGAATAAAAAGAAAAAAAGAAAGAAAGAGAAAGAACAAGAAATTATCAAGCGTTACGGAAAATATTAAAAACCATTTATTATTTATACGATTATATTTCTTCAATGACAAATATACTGAAATGATAAATGTGCCGAATATTTAATGAATTATTTCGCATTTTAATTAATAATTTTAATTTCAATTAAAATCATATTAATATATTCACATTTTTCATTTGGTATTATACATAATATCGAAATCATCTTATTAGCAATTATAATTCATACAGATATTATTAAAATCTACAACTTAATTTACTATTATTTCTGCTAAATTTTCAGCAAATACGAAGTATCACAGAATTACTAATAGTAAATTAATATGTAGATAATTAAAAAAAAAATTGTGACAGGAATGATCGAAAGAAAATTTTATAAAATAATTTCAATACACCTCGTTTGTCGTATTACTAAATCTCGAAGTGCGTTTTTATTATATACTAAAAATATATACGTTTTTAAATCTTACAAATATTTATTGCCAACATATATATATATATGTATATGTATATGTATATGTATATATATATATATATATAAAAGTGTATTTCCTGGTTTATACACATATAATAAAAAAATGTATTCGATTGAATTTTTTAAATAATGTTAATTTCTTTAATACTAAAATGCATATAAAATCACACATTGTAAATAATAAAATAGTTAAGTAAAAACCCAGCCTTGTTTCAAATAGTATACTACCAACTTCCTAAAAATCTGCAGTAATATAATGATTAATAATTATGCATTTACAATCTAAGCACATTGCCTTTTTATTTTCTGTGCTCTATTTTATATATATATATATATATATAAAAATTTATATATATATATATATATATATAAATTTTTATATATATATATATATATATATATATATATATATATATACATATATATAATAAACATATATATAAACATATATTATGAACATTAAGTGAATATTAAGTAGATTCTTGTCTGCCAATTGGCAAAGCCAATTCTAAACATTTTTGTCTTTTTAAGAACTATTGTACAATTATTAGGAAATATGACTGATCAAATTGGTAATCGATGTATTGCAGTGCAAAAAAAATTATTCATAGCAATGAACATCATTTATTTATCATTAACATTATTCTAAGCAAATCCTTTTTAACAGGTCAAGTATTTATATCAAATAAAAGTTTTTAGAACCGACGATAAGAATCTACAAGTATTTTTTTTTCTTTCTTTTTTTCTTTTTTTGTTTTTTATTTTACATATCATTCCAACTTTGTATTAAAAAACCTTAAGAAATATTTTATATTAATAGATAAGCTGCCAACTAGTCTAAAATGTTTGTCATTTATTTTTTTTTTTTATTTTTTTTTTATTTTTTTTTTTTTTTTATTTTTTTATTTTTTTACTGGTATTGTTTTATGATATCCTAATATACAGCGAAATATTTTTTTTTCTTTTTTTTTTTTTGTACATACTGGAATTTATGCTAGATTATTCATTATACAAATATTTGTTTACAAAGAAACATAAACAATAATATATGCAAACTAACATACCAATAAAATGTATATATGGTTATTATAAAACATGCACGTATAATAAACATATAGACGCAAACCTTGTAATAAAATATTATTAAAACTCATCGATACCTTACGCAATTAAATTGTGTATATATGTGATATAGATATATTAAGAGGAAAAAAAAAAAGAAAATAAAACTATATCAATTAAATTATGAGGTAGACCTATCCTATACAACGTATAAAGAATCAGGCGATTCATATGCATTTGGGTTTGGTCCATTATTACTTATATAAATTATATGATGTTTGTGCCCAGAATAGGAGTATATGCGATAATCACGTAACCCAATCTTAACACGAATATCCTGACATTTGAAAACTTATATAATAAATAGTAATAAATAATAAATAACGTGTATTTCGTAAAAGTGCCTGCGAAGATACATTGTAAAACATATAGAAGCATTAAATCATTATGCTTTTATTACAATTGATATTACGTGATTAATGCGTAAATTCCTAGAAAACGAATCAAATATAAGAACAGATTCATACATACATACATACATACATATACATACATACATACATACATACATACATACATACATACATACATACATACATACATACATACATACATACATACATACATACATACATACATACATACATACATACATACATACATACATACATACATACATACATACATACATACATACATACATACATACATACATACATACATACATACATACATACATACATACATACATACATACATACATACATACATACATACATACATACATACATACATACATACATACATACATACATACATACATATATATATATACATATATATATTGAAAAATTAATAACACTTTATATGAGTTTTTTTTAAAGTAGATTTTCCCAGCTGGAATGCTATGTTTAAAATAAACTTACTCAGTTTATTTCTCCTTTAAATTGCAATAAACATCCCACTGCTCCAAAATAACCCTAGAAAGAAAAGATGATTTTATTAGATGGAAAAGAAAACAAATATTTTTCTTTCATATTATCTATTATTTATCAAATATATATATATATATATATATATATATATATATATATATATATTACCTCATGCTCTAAAAACAGAGCTTTCATTGTTCCTTTAGACCAATAATCCATAGCATAGGCCAATAATTTCATAGAAATAGGATTGACCCTGAGGAAGTTACCAACAAATACCACCTAAAAAGAAATGTTTAGTTTTTCTAATAGATATCGAAATTAATTAATATGTTTCTTATAAAGATTATTTAATATGGTTTATTACCCTTTCTATCTTTTCATTAACAGCACACATACGTGCTATGGAACCAATATTATTGGTGATAGTGACAAGGGTCGCACGTGCAAGGTCTTCCTTCGTAACAGCATTACGACGTTCTTTAAAATTCATTTGCCCAAAACTAAACGAATTGAACGAATAAATTATAAATGAATAGAAAAGTAAGATTAAAGAAAAAAGTATGTAAATAATAAATTTATATTATCAAATCTTATTTACCTGCTGGCAACAAGATCTCCAGGAAGACCAAATGGCTCGTAATCACCCCCATAGATATCTTTTACTAATTTATCTACTTTAGTGTTGTCACCACTTGTTGCTAATTCAATTGCTTCTTCGAAAGTGTTACAACCAGTGAGTAAACAACATAACCCTAAGAATGTTCCACCGCCTAAACTATGAAATTTATTTATGTGTTACAAATGACACATCATCAAAATCATTTCATATAATAATATATTAACATTAAAATCATTGTATAAATTACTTACCTTGTTCCAGATATCCTCTTATAATTTTCTGGTCCATAAACTGCTAATATACTGACACCTGAACCTATATTTACTAGCTGTCATAAGAAATTTCAAATAATTAATTACAATATTCTATATATTTTTTTTGCTTTGTTTAAATAATATTAATATCATACCAAGAATGGATAAGGTTCAGAAAAATCATATGGTATTTTTTGACATCTGCTATCATCTGTTGGATAAGACCAATAATAGCATTCATGTGGATTAGTTATTTCTACATAAAGTATGCCTCGTATTAAGCTGTCCAATTCATCAAATTTTGCCAAACTCATATTTACTTCCTGTAAATTGGATTGACCCTATATAGTTACACATAATTAAACAAATTCATCATATATGATCAATTAACGTTAATCTATTGTTGATAAAATTTACAAATACTTTTTTGAAATTTTCTTCAAATTTGTAGGCTCCGCCTCCAGTTGCACAAACAGTGGTTACAAGATTCGCCATACCTTTAGATTTTGCTAATGCTAGAAAATTTCCCATTTCGCTGGTAGGAAATCTAATAAAGTGTAAAGTACCACGCCTGCCTCTAACATAAACATTATCCATCTATAAAATGAAATAAAATAGAATAGAAATAATCTATTTATAGAAATATCTATTTATTCCTATGAAAATATAAATATGATCAATTTCATACCTGTAAATGCGTATCTCTATGACCTGTTTTTCCATAGGCTGAATTTTTTGTGAGATAACGCCGAATATTTTTAAGAGTTTCGAGTTCTGCGTCAGCTTCATCTCTCGTTATATCTTTAGGTTCAAAATATACTAATTTGCACAATGTACCACCTATATCCATACCAAACCACGGCATCGCTATAAAAAATAATTGTATATAATAAGCTCAAATATACTAATATAATATATATGATATATATATATATATATATATATATACACATATATATATATCTGAAATACTTTCATAAAAAAATAATTACTATAAAAAACCATCTAATATTTTATAAATAAAAGTATATTATATACTTCTGAAATTTTAAAATGGTTTATTATAATTACTTCTATAAGTTTTTTACAATATTGGAAAGTTAAATTGAATAAAGGCATTAAGCATGAAGCTATATAATAAATAAATCAAAAGTTATAACAAATGCAAAACAAAATACAAGCAATATATATATATATATAAAACACAAGTACAATAGTAAAAATATATGTAAATCACATATAGCATAAATCACAAAATTTAATATAAATACTGTGAAAATAAAAATAAAAATAAAATTGGCTAAACCAAGCACACATACAGTTTACGGACTCACACGGTGGTGAATTATTCTTTGAGTCGTTTTCCGCCACTTCTGCCCCAGAATAACCATTTGATGCCATGATTTTATTGTTCAAATTTTTCTTAAAGCTCTGTGGACTCATTATTAAATTCTAAATTTTTTAATGTAAATAACTGTAGTACCACGAACAACTTCTTTGCTATAAAAACAGAATAATTTCATAAAAATAATTTATATAAACATTTTAATAAGATCTAACATTAAACCGACTAAAACTAATATTCGATAGGGACTAACCGATTAATATTTTTTTTTTTTTTAAATAAAATTTGATGATTTATCACATTTATAGACAAATATTAAACGTTACGTATTCCATTAAAATATAAAAAAAAAAATATATATAATAATTCTTCTAGAATGATAAACTAGTTTCTTAGTTATGTTGTCACTCAATACGTCTGATTCATAATGACTTGTAGTCGAGTATAGCTAACTTTATAACTGGAACTAACTTCGTAAGGCAATTTATCTTTATGTATAAGAGGCAAAGGTTACACTTTATTATGCATACCATATATAGGAAACGTGAATAAATATTAATATAAGTAAGGCTACGACAATGATAATATATTTGAAAATATAATATTTCTTTTATTTTTATTTATAAATCATTCGAAAAAAAAAAAAAAAAAAAGAAAACCTAAAAAACCTTTTATTTCTTTTATTTTACTATGATCTATTACGACTATACCAATCTGCATAAGTGTTTATGTGTACGTGTACGATGTATACGTGTACGAAGCTTCTCGATTAATGGGGAGAAAAAAAAAAAAAAAAAGGAAAAAAAAAAAGACAATTTTTCTCTACGCAAGAGATTCGTGCCTTTATAAAATCACGAAATTATATATCACGTTCAAAAAAAGCACGTTGAAAAGCAGATCTTACGAGAAAATAAATGAAGAAAGTAATATTTACCAACACAACAACAACAACACAACGACAAACAGCAGATATAAACTTATTTTTCTTCTGTCATCACATAACAACAACGTTCTCTACGTTGTGAAAACAGTAAGGAATGCTTCGATATGAAATGCCACCACAATGATTCCTTTTGTTTTATTTTATCTTGTTTTCTATTTTTGTTTTTGTTCCTTTTCTTTTTTTTTTCCTTGCTTTTAAATATTCACCAATACCATAAAACTATTCTATAAAACTATTTCTACAATTGCAACAATACCTAGGCTGAATAAATTATTCGCATTTCGCAAGCTCAAATACGATAAAAGTAATATTAGAAATAACGGTTACGGAATCGACTTAGCAGAACGAATGATATTCTGACGAAAGACCTCATCGTCATCAATTTTGAAAGAGCGATCAAAAATCATACGATCGTTTAACAAGAAACATGACCTAAACTTTTTAAAAACGAATCATGTGATACCAATGAGATTACCTTTTTTTCCTTTACTTCTTTTCTTTTTCTTTAATATTTTTTTTCTTTTCTTTCTTTTTTTCATGCTATTAATATAAAACGAGAGAAAAATTCATTTAATATGATAACCTATCAAGCGAGAGCAACAGAGAGAGATAGAGAGAGAAAGAAAGAGAGAGAGAGAAAGAGAGAGAGAAAGAGAAAATTGAACAAGAATAACCGATGTATATATACTGTCAAAATGTCGGACAGTGACTAAAGCAAAATTGTTTATATCTGGAATTTAATTGAAGAAAACGTAATAGAAGAAAAAAAAAAAAAAAAAGAAAAAAAAAAAGAACAAAAATAACGATTGTCCTAACGTTCATATTAAAAACGACGACTCTAAGCGATAAAATGAATTTTTTAAGGGCTTACCTAAGGGCGTCATTTTTTTTTGTGCGAAAGAATTCAAATATAAGATCGTCCGAATCATTAGTAATATTCAAACATATTATCACTGCTTAGGATAAATGATATATCGTTCTAGTCGTCGGTTATCTTTCTACGTTTTGCGGTAATCTGACCAAATCTTCAATCAGGGACTTATATTTTTTTTTTATTGACACAGAATCACGTATACGTGAACGTTGATCCATAGTATTTCCTTTTCTGTTTACATCTCCGTCATGTCGATTTCATTATAAATACAAAATCATATATTTTATATCGATTTTTTCTTCATCGCACGAAATTATGAAATTCGAATGATTGATAAGAATTCACATATACTTTCTTAAATATTTACAGATAATTACAATTAATTATAATAGATATTATTAATACAACTGCAATGCTAGAATTTGTCAAGTAAGTGCACAACTCCTAGCGCCATCTTCTTTCTTTCTTTCTTTCTCTTTCTCATTCTTTGATTCACATTCTTGCTATCTCTCTCTCTTTCTCTCTCTCTTTCTCTCTCTCTTTTTCTCTCTCTCTCTTTCTCTCTCATGGTATACTGATCGATTAAGATGGTAATATACATATATACTCACATATCATTTAATAAGGGTTAATTCAAATTATTAGAACAAAATTCTCAACTTGTTTTTAATCTTTAGGCTTATTTTTTTATAACATTATATACAATTATTCTTTTATATATATATAATTTATACATTGTTTCTATTTATCATTTGATTCTAAGCTTTTTCTCTTTATTTTTATAATTCAATGATAGTTGCATTAAAAGAAAAAGCATACATATTTTCAACTTCCTAGATTCAAGAATAAATAAATATATATATATATATGCATATATATATATTTAAAAATATTAGATAATGTATATCACTTTGAAAGTATATACATATATTAGAAATTATAGAAATACATAAGATTTAGTTTTTAATAGTTTATTTTTTATATTCTTTCATACACATGATACAATATACTACATTATGGAACAATACTATGGAACAATACTTAAGAGCATTGTACGCGAGCCATCATAGAAATTTTCTGTGCTTTTTGTACTATGTCTGGACAACGACGGCGACGTACAAGTCTACAATCTTGGAAAAATCCTTCGTTTCTTGGAAAACCATGTGAACCATCGGAATAAGTCACCAAACCTGTATTATAATGCTATATAGTAAATATTACATTTAATGTAGAGAATAAATATTTCGTTGTAAAGATTATTAAAATATTAAATCTTTATAAATTTTCTTGTAAAAGTATTACAAACCTAAGCCCCATACTCTTCCACCGCGAAATTCTCCTTCAAACTTCATTCCATCAGCTCTCCAAAATACTCCATGTCCGTGAAACCAACCCTGCATAAATTCACCTTCGTATCTAAATATATTAACGAATAATATTATTTTACATGTTATAAAACTATTGAAAAAATAAATGATTTAATAGTTTGATGGATAAAATGATACGTAATGTTACATACTTTGCTCCATCGGGAAATATAATAATGCCTAAACCAGAACAAAGGCCATTTTGAAAGGCACCATCGTATCGTGTACCATCAGGAAGAAGTAAAGAACCAGCACCATGTTTCAATCCTCTATTATTCCAATCTCCAATATATTTTGTCCCATCATCATATTTGTATGCACCTGTCTTAGCCACACCTATAAACAGATTTGACAGCAATGAATTTTTCAATGATTTAAATTAGTTTTCTTTTTTTTACTCATAAACATCTTTTTTTACATATGAATAATTATTCCAAGATTTTACAATATATTTAACTTGTTTTTTTATTTTATATATACAACAAAAAACATATATAGATAAAAGTTCTTGTTCTTAAGATCTTACCATCACCCATGCTTTCAACAAACTAATTTTATTAGTGGGAACTTTCAGGTTTAAATTCAATTACTGAAATTAATTCTTTATTTGATTATGAGCGTTATGTACAGTACAAGTCTTCCATATTATATAAGTAATGCTGCTTTCTTAAAAAATTTCATAAATGAATGTTTATATAAATATTAAAGTTATATTTTAATCAAATGTTAGTAAATATAACTGTACTACACATCGTATCAAATAAATATGGTATCCAAAGTAAACGCATATAACCAAAATATATACTATTATTATATGCGTAACAATCTATCAAATGGATTATAAAATTTGTGTACAATTTTAAGAATGTAAATATTTGTACATATTATGCATATATCTATTAGTTATTTTTGTTTTTTAATTTTAGATATGTATACTACATTTTATTTATTATTTGTAACAAGATATTCAGTGATCGAGATGAATTACATGATTTTCAACCAGTAAATAAATTTAAGAATATAAAAAATTTAAAACAAGTTAACAAATTTTATTACACTATATAAATTTATACTTGAAAATTATGATCAATAAATTCAACTGGTGTAAATTATTTACTAGTTCATTGATCTTTGATTCCACCGGGCGCACAAACTAAAAACCAACGTGTTCTGGCTTTTACAGCAGCTTTCCTTACTAAACGTTTTTTATCGTCAAGAACCGTCTTAAGCTTTTCTAAGACATTTGGTTTATATACATTAATCAATACAGCAGAATAATTCGTGTAACTTGTTAAACAGTCTAGAGCTGTAATTCTGATATCCTGAAAAACATAATTATTATATAATCAATATAAATAATAATTAGTATAAATAATTACCATTAATTTATATGTTGATAATTCCAAAAGTTTTGGAATAAAACATTGCATTTTATCAGCAAAAATTTCATTTTTTGTATCCAACAAAAGTTTTAATACTATTAAGGCAGAGAGAACCAATTGTCCATTGTCCAAAGATAGAGACTCAATTAGAAGAAAAACTAACTGTCATTAAAAATAAATATTATTATTATTGAAGGAATAACAATAGTAATAAATAAACAATATAAACTTACTTCTGATAAATGCATGTATAATAATTCAGTAGGCATTTCTTCTATTAAATAAGTTAAAGCAATTAAAAAATTTTGCCTTGAATTATTTAAAAAACTATTATTTTGCTGTAATAAATGCTGAAATACTCTTTGTTTATAAAAAATTTTTATATTACAAAAATTTTCAGATGTTAAAGTACTATCCATTTTACACGTTAAACTTTTATATTCTTGAGCTACATATTCACCTACTTCATTATGTTTGAGCATTTCTGTAAGCTATAAAAATATAATATTGTTATAATTATTAATTTTCTTAATACAATGATATTTTGTATATAGATAATTTTTATCAATATTAAAAATCTATACATACAATATTGAGACAATCTTGAGAGTTATAACTTCCTTTTGTAACTGCTGCTTTTGTTAACCAAATATATAAAATAACAGTTTTCTTTTTTGTATCTACATTAGAAGTTGATTCCAAATTTTTCTTTATTTTTTCTTGAAGATATATCAAACTATTTTTAAAATGTTCTGCGTTATTCATTTTGTTTAGTACCACAGAAAGTAGTTGGCAAGACATTGTTCTAGTAATAGAATTAGAACTATTGACAGCTAAGTTATATAAACTTTCTAATAGACTATCATCAAGTATTAATTTAACTTCTTGTCTTAAAGAAATAAGTAAACTGATTATCACAGTTACGACATTTTCGCAAGTGTTATGTGTTATAATAGCAATATATTTATCTGTAATCATTTGTTGATCCTCTATAAAAAGACCTCTTACAATGCATTGACAAATGCTTGATATAAGGGATAATTTATCAGTAGAAGTATTTGTTGTAAACGAAATTAATTTATCAATGATGTTACATTCATTATACAAAAAATATTGAACATCAGAAGTACTGTTTCTAATTGAAACGAGTTTATGGATACACTTTAATGCAGCAAGACTTATCTCTGAATTAGGAGAATTTCCTATACCAAGAACTTTTGGTAATATTTCATTGGCTAATTCAGGAATTTTTGCAATTATAGATAATGCTTGTAATCTACGAATTTTAACTTTTACATCTATATCGTCTGAAACATAATAAAATATATTTTAATATTTGAAATTAACATGGATTATTATAAAAGATAAAAAAAATGTTGAGAGTTAAATAAAAAAACATTAAATCCATTAACTACTTTTACCTTTATCAATTTGAAGTTTTTCCTGAACCAGCAATAATACTTCGTTCGAATATAAATTAGCAAATGCTGCCAAGCATGCTTGACAAATGTTTCTCATTTCCTCGCAACCAGTATCAATTTCATTACATATAATATCATATAATAAAATTCTATGAGTCTCTTTTAAATAAGCCCTTTGTATTGTCAAACCAATAAGTATTTTAATTCTTAGCTCTGTAGATTGTTTTGATAATTCCTCAAAATACAGCTGTGGAATGTCTGTCCAAGTTAATTCTGGAACATCTACATTAGATGTATTAAAATATTTTTTTCTGACATTATAAATCCATATCTATACTCATTTAGATATCTTAATCTTAAATAAATCAATTTACATTAATTAAATACATACTTTTGATAGAGAAATCTAAATCAGAAGCGATTTTCATAAAATTATTTAAAGCGTCCATTATGATGACTTTATCCATTAATAAATTTTTAGTAGAATATTGACCAAGACAAATTGGCACTATAACACGTAATACGTATATACAAGTTTGCTTGTTCACCATTGCCACAGACTCCAATAAATTTTCTGCCGGTCTGAATAAACTAAGTTGTACATCACATAAAGACATTTTAATATCTGTTAATATTTTTTCAATAAATGTTTCATGAACTTTTTCATCGGCAGATATAACTTCAATTAATACAGCCAATGTCTTAAGGGTAGCATTTTTTATTTCTGAATCTCCACCAGACATAACTTCTTTCCTTATAATAGGCCAAAGTTCTGAAAGATATGGCTCCAATCCATTTACACCAAATACATAGGCTCCTTTCCTTAACAAATGCAATGAATCCAATTTTGCAACTTTAAGATTGGAAGATAATTTGTCCGATATAAGTGGTATACAAAATTCTACAAATTCGGGAATTGCATAGAGACAAGGTGCTAATGATTCAGCCAAATCTTCACGTGTTATACCAATCACATCTGATCCAACCTGAAAATATAATTGTGTTATATATCCATATATAAATACTTTTTTTAATATCATACAATTATAATTGAATATTATAATTACAGGATTAAAATCTATTGGAAAGTAACATGATATAACTTCAAACATTTCTTCTGCTAAATGTCCTAATGGAAATTCTTTTATAAAATTTGGAAGTATATTAAACAATAACATAAGATTTCTAGGGTCACGTTCGCCATCGATAGAGGATATAACTCCGTAAACAAAATCAGGTCCCATTTTTTTCAAATCATTTAATCTACTTTGTAGTAGTGTTGCAAAAATTAAATAAATGTTACGACGATCTTGTAAAAGTTGAGATTGACACTGAACATGTTCAAACATTTTTGTGAATAAACAAACTGGTGCATCCTGAGGTAGATGAATCATTTGAACCTAAAAAAAGAAAAAAAAAAAAAAAAAGAAAAAGAATATGAAATATATACGATATAAATGGCAACAGAATAATTTGGAAAATATAAGAATATTTACATACTATTGCCAAAATTCCACGAAGAACTACTGGTATAATACTATGATGATCTTTCAATCTATCACAAAAGAACACTGTGATAAAATGTAATTCAGTTTCATTAAGAAAATCATTGGGTAACTCGGATAATACAGAGGAAAGTGCTGTGACTCCTCCTTCTCGCACACTGACATCCTTATTTGTTACAAAAGAACCTAATTCTTCAACAAATGTGGATAATTTTAATTCTCCTAATTGTACTTCTGAAATATCATTGAAATAAAATATTAATGAATATCTTACAAATAAATCTTAAATATATATATGTATATATATATATATATATATATATATATATATTATATATATACTATTATGTATAATATATATATATACTATTTAATACGAACTTAATTCTTGACATATTGTCAGTTTTAAAAATATTATATTTTTTTTTAATCATTAAATGATCATTTATTATTAACACGAATAAAAAATTAGATTTATTATTATTTTATTCTTTATGACAAAGAAGTTCGTGTGAGGTTGGAAATTTTTTAAAAATGTATTTTATATAAATATTAAGGCTCTCTACAGCACATTGATGTAAATCGAATAATTATGATAATTAACTATAATACGCACCTAAGGCTATGTCTTTACATACTGAAACCAATGCAACGTTATCATTAAAATTAACCGATAACCTTTCTGCAAGAGTGGAACTTGCTGGAGTAGCCATCTCCAAACATGCCTTTAGACTAAATGATCTAACAACGGAATTATTGTGTGAGTTAACCTCAAAGAATTTATCGGATCCATTCTCCATTTAATTTTAAAGCAAATTTTTTTACTCGAAGTATACATATATATATATATATATATATATACACATATATATGTATATATATAGGTTTATATACACATGTATAATATATGACTCAATTATCGATCATCGCGAAAAGACACAAATGTGCATAGAATAAATCTATCATTTCTAAAAAAAAAAAATTAAATATGATCTACACAGTGAAATTCAAACATTTAATATTTCTATTTTAGGTTAGATTATAGCGCCCCTCGTGGCTGCGGGATTATACTATATAAAACTAAAATGGATGAAAATGGCATGTGAGGTGTTGTTAAATTTCAGTGAAATGTTTAGTTTCTTCAGCCGCCTAGGATGGGAGGCTGCATAGGCATAACAAGGGCAAGAAATGCCTCAGTCGATGATACATCGGGAAATTCAACGAGAACTAATTCAGGTAAAAATTTAACCAAAATCGGTCATCTATAAATTACGCCTAACTTTAACTAACCTTGAAGTAGTTTTTCTTTTACCTTCGTATCTGCTCTGTAATACGTCTTATATGTATACACCTGACATAATTTATTCGAAATGAATTTATCATTCGTAGTTATATTCTCCTTATTATACTTGGTAATGTGAAATATTATATCTTTAGAAATGATATGTATTCTTATAAAATTATTTATGTTTTATTTCAACATTTGCATCAGAAATAACATTAGCCTGTAAAAATTGTAAAATAGTAAATAATTTTTATTTTTCATAATTAAACAAATAATATGTGAATATATATTAAATTGAAAGTAATATCTTTAAAATATCTACATGTAATATTTTTTATATGTTACATTATTTATATAGGAAATTCAAGAAAAAATCACCCACTTTGCCATGAGGTAATCAGATGGAAGTCAGATGTACCTTTAACTGAAGGTCAACTAAGAAGTAAGAGAGATGAGTTTTGGGATACAGCTCCTGCATTTGATGGAAGAAAAGAAATATGGGATGCATTGAGAGCTGGCGCGACAGCAGCTGAAGCACAAGATTATCAATTGGCACAGGCCATATTAGATGGAGCTAATATTTCTGTGCCAAATGGTTTCTTAACAGAATGTTATGATGAATTAGGTACACGATATCAAGTCCCTATTTATTGTTTATCATATCCTATCAATATTGTAAAAGAAGATAGTGGCAGAGATTCACCAGCAGATTGTTCAGGTAAATAATTATATAATAAAATAATCGTTTCATGTAAAAGAATGGTTTCATGTAATTGCTTTTATTAATGTTATCTATTTAGAACCAGTTGATGGAGGAACCGAGCAAACTTTAAAATTACGACTATCTACAACTTTAGGGGATGTAAAATTACCTGTATACAGCAAGGATACTATTGGTATAGCCAAAAAGAAATTACAAGTATGTATTATTATATTATTAATCTCTATAATGACATATTATGATTTAACAATATTTGGATTTATATAATTAGAGTCAAGAAGGCCTAGAACCATCACGACAACGGTGGTTTTTTGGTGGAAAATTATTAGGTGATAAGATGCATATAGAAGAAGCAAAAGTGCAGCCAGGTTATGTAATTCAAGTAATTGTAAATCCAGAAAAAACAGATGATAGTCCAGCTAAAACCAGTTGAATTTACATATGCATATGAAGTGATCAAACACACCACTAAACCAATAATCAATATTAAGCACATTCTTGCACATATTAAAACAAATATTTTGCACTTTTTATTGCATTCATTAAATATAACGTGTTAACTGAAATTGGTTTTACATAATAACATCAATTTGAGTTGTGAGTATTTATCAAGTATGCTAATACTTGAATAAATTATTTGGTTTTTACATTATATAAAGTATAGTCATTATACTTTATTGTATTTACAATTTGATATATATATTATAATGTCTAGCAAAGTAAAGAGAATTGTATGTGTATGAGAATGTGCTTATTTTACTCAATGTTATCTATTTACATGTACAGTAAAAATCGACTGAGGTATATCTTCAACATCAATATACGAATACAAAATTAATATTATGCAAAGTTTTACAATTAAACTAATTACAATTAAAATTTCTATCTAATTGACATTGAAATGATTATCATCATATATATTGTTACCAATGATAGTACTGGTGCTGTAAAAATATAAAAATATTTATGTAAGAAACTATAAATATCTTGTTGAAGCCTATTACGTAATTAACAATCAGACAAATAAAATCTATCATTCATATTGGAAATTACAGCGATATTGTTAATAGTTTATCAGAACAAAGTAAGAGTAACTTGATGGACAATAACAGAGAATGATTGCAAGGCCATACATAAATACAAATAATTTTCTTCTGATGTCCTCATATAGTAACTAACTTTTTGTTTTTATTTAAATTACTCTTTTTCTTTTTTTTTTTTTTACATCTATAGTTAAATGAATGTAGCATATTCTCATAAATTTTATGAATATATTATTAAGTACATTTAATTTTCCAAAGATTTTACAGCACCATATATTTCATTAAATCTATAAATCTAAATATTTTACAGCAATGTAAAGAATTATGAAAATCATAACTTTGCATACTTTGGAAAACATATAATTTGATATGGCCTAAAAATGGCCTAAAATCTATGATTCCTTCCTGTAAGTACTACTAAGATAATAAGATAAGGTCTTTAAAAATAATTTATAACCAGAAGAAGAAAATAAGACTATATCATGTAGAGATGACATGTGGAACTGAAGTTTCATCTTTAGCGCAGATTTATTTATAATGTTTGTCATTTGTATCATGTTCTTTCATGATTTCATCTATATGTTGTTGTAATATGCACTTGTGGATAAGGGGTTGAAATAAAATTGCAAACGCGTTGCTAGTCATATCTTTGGCATCACTTAATTAAAAGTTTTGTTCCATATGTCATACAACAAATTACAAATTACCTAAATTGTAATAATATTGCAAATATGGCATAATATGTGAATTAATTTTTTAACTTTACTAACATAACTATGATACATAGCTTATTTCATACATTCTAATTATCAATATTGGGTTGCAGTGTGACAATGTGTGTGCGAGAATATGTATGTTATTTAGGGATGTGCGAGTACTGCCTAACATCTAGTCGTGGCAAGTTCATATTAAAATTATTAACAAAAAAGAGTGAAAGTTGATTATGTTAATAAAAGTAAAGTACTCAACCATCTCATTAATAAAAAGAAAATTTAAATACATGTAATTTCATTGGTCATAATCAATTAATGATTTAATTAAAAAATTAACTATTAATGTAAAAGTGCGCACATGTATATAGCTCACATTATATACAAAAGATTAAGAGCTATATTTAAAATATTAAAAAAGAAAAAAAAAGAAATCAGATCATTTAGATTACATATATTAATGTAAAAATTTTATATATATAGATTAATCTACATAATGATTAATTAAGCCCCATTGTCTAGAATACCAAATTCTTGGAGTATTCGCACATTCCTCATGTATTTATAATATACAGGATGGTTAAAAAAACATGAAGTATCGCAAGCTATTTTTTATAGAACAGTAAAGAAGGTAATTGAGTACTATGATCTGTTATTGTTAACATAAATAATTGAAATTTTATTGTGTTTTTTAGGCACTTATAAAGTTCTTAAATACAAAATTCAATTTATTAACTTTATATCAATACAATTGATGGAAATTTTATTTATCTATTATGATATTATGATCTGTCTTGCAAACAAGAAAGTAACAAATCTTCATATGCAGAAGCTTTGTTTTAAAAATAATATGTGTGGTTACTACGAGAAATATTTCAAACTCAAAACAGTATAATAATAGAAGATAAGTGCAATAATGAACTGAGAAAGAAGAATGTTTTACTTTTCAATGCAGATCATTATTTTTTATTTGTTCCAAATGAAAAATATAACAAGAATTTTACAAATAAAAACAAAAATAACAGAAAGATCATAAGATGAAAAAATCTTTCAAATTAAAACTAGCAAGTTTTTATCATTTAATATAGCTGTTGCTTACTGAGCCTCTAGAGAAATAATATGTGTATAAAATGCAAAGAAATGTTGGTTGTGCACTGACTCTTTCTATTAATGGAGATATTTGAATAATGACTTGTAAACATGTATTTATATTATTTATAAAAATATCTTATACAAAATAATGATCAAATTAAATTTTCAAAAAAGTGATTCATCATTTTCATACAATTATTAAAATTTCTTCACGAATATGCTAAGTTTCACAGAGTTTCACTTTTTTAGAAAATACAAACTTATTTTAAATTCACTATCATATAATAAACATTGAATTTCATAATATTTTACTAATTCAATGAAAGCAGCTTGTAATGTTTTCCATAAATTATATTTTTCATATTCATAAAAATTTCATATCGAATTATCAACATTCAAGCTAAATATTGAAATAAGATATTTAATCTTATGCCTAATTTATTTATACATCAATTATTATTATTTTACAAGTTGCAATTGTATTATATTTATTAAAATGATATTTTACTGGATATAAAAATGTATAAAACCTATTTCATATGTAAAATGAAATATTACATATTTGAACAATCATGCATTTCTTTAGCACAAAACTAATACAGCAAAATGTTGAACAGTACTTTTGCTTCAATAAATGAGTGTAAAGTGTGTTAAATATCAGTGTTAGCTTTAAACGCAATTCGCACTGTTTAGTATATATGATTATGCTTTAATATATACTATAACATTATTCATTTTTTACATGTGAATATAGCAGTGCGTTTAAATTTTTCTTTTATTTTTTTTTCTTTTTTTTCTGGTAAAGGGATAAGTTTTAAAATGTTTCTTACATTTTTGAGTTATAGTATAAACGCAAGCAAAGGTAATGTTGCATTTACTTTGTAAAACACTTTACTATGAAATACTTGTTATCAGCAACTAATTGTTGCAAAAAGTTCTCCGTGATAATAAATTTTATCAGACTGATATTATTATTGGTATGCCAAAATTGGGTTATCTATAATGTATTGACAGAGACTGCATTTCGATTGCTCAATTGGTATCGAGTTATTATAATTTATTTAAAAATTACAAAAAGAATAAAATATTGAAAACATATGAGAACACCATTTGTAATAACAATAACAGTGCTGAATGTATTTGACTAAGACCTATTAATAACTTAATCTTGTAATTTCTTAAACACGTTTGGCATAACATTTTTAATATAGGTTTTATCTTTTTTCAATATTATTTGCAAATAATATTAATGTGCTGTTTATTAATACTCATGATTATGTAATGTTGAGCAAAATGCGATGAACTATAAAAGTAACATTTCAAGAATGTAATATGTAAATAAACATCTTTACAATGATAAAAGTGCAATTCCAAATGCCTAATAGAGCAGTTGCTTAATATTAACATTGCTACGCTGGACCAATGCGTGTGATGTCTTTAAAGATCAAAGAATGACTGATTGAAGACAATGTAGGATAACTGCCAATAACATATTAAATATTTGTTGCTAATCAGATCTTATAAAATACAGAAAAAATTTTTGGAATTTGCAAAGAAAACATTGTGATTAGATAGTAGTTATGAGTTAAGCAACGTTTACACATTTTTTAAACTAATCAAATGAATAATGTTACTTATTAAGAGTATGAGTAGAGTTATGTCCATACTGACTTATTTTTAATCAACAAAAAAAGTGAATGTAATATGATTATTACATGATTCGCCAATATTATTCTTATCTAAGAATAGATATTTATTATTTTTTTTCTCATATTGTAAAACCAAAAACAAGTACAACAGTGAAAAATATAAATTATTCAGACTGTTACTTGATTATTGGTATGATATTTAACAAATTCACATAAATTAATTTCTATACATATTAATTATAATATAATGCATTGTCAAATAAAGCATAATGTTGTGAAAATTCTCTAGTGCAACGATTTTGCTTCCTTATTTCAAAAATAAATTTGATAAGAATAAAGATGTATGTTATTAAAATTGATGGTTTGTATCAAATAACATTTTTTTTATTCTTCAAAAAAGAATAATATAAACTATATAAAATATATACATACAATCTTTTTTTTTTTTTTTTATTTAAGATCAGAGCATATAAAAAGATTGTTTAAAATTTCACTTCATCAACATTTTTACATATTTTACATATTTTAACTCGTGACAAAGCCAGAGTATACTACTTAAAAGAATAAGACTACCACATTGATGAGATGCAGCTAATGGCACTGGTACATGATATAATAAAGTTAAAATACCTAAAGAAACTTGTAAATAGCCTGCACCCAATACAGTATTTACAGCTGTTTTCCCATAGCCGGGAAGTTTATGATTTCGGGCCAAAATAGCTATAATATTTACTAATACAAAAGAAAATATACCCTGTAACAAATAAAACATATATACAGACAAATAGATAATATAAAATTATTATACATTATACTAAGATTTATATCATATTTTACCAGATATCGATGTTGAAATTGTGCAGTGGTTGGATTTTCAGTAAAATTTCTTAATGTCTGAGGTATTGCAAATAAATCATCAGGAATCCATTTGTCTGCCATTTTTGGAAAAGTATTATAAATAAGTCCAGCATCCATACCGGCTACAAATGCACCGGACATAGCAGTCAAAAAGATCATCCCTTTAGTAGAATGAACTAAATATCTAAAGAATGTTAATTTTTTCACTGCTGCATTGAAATTTTCAATACTAAGACTACCATTTCCTATTTTTTTTGCAGGTATTAAATAGCTCAGAGCATTATATAAAAATCCTGAATATATTATAAATGCTAATCCTAAATGCGCAGCAAGACGATACTGTGATACTCTTGGTACATCTGAAGGTTCATTAAAACGATCTTCCAAGCCAGATTTAACCATATACCATCCCATTAATCCTTGTAAACCGATCAATGATCCTAATACCGCAACACGTATTTTCATTTCTGATTTAAGCATACCAGATAACCAAAAGTATGTTGCAGGTATTAAAAATACACCACCAATTAATCGACCCCATGTTCTATGGAAGTATTCCATCCACCAAATTCTTTTAAATTCATCCAATGTCATATCTTTATTAGTTCTACACAAAATTATTATATTTATAGAAATTTTTATATATATATATAAATGTAATGAAAATTATCTTCATTGATCTTACATTTTATACTCAGGAAATTGTTTATAACGTTCAAATTCAATATGCCATTGTTCTTCGTTAATAGGCATTTTTTCCCCAAGTAATTTCCAAGTAACCATAGACAAACCTGATTCAGTAAGTCTTGTAACACCTCCTATAAATATAAAAAAAGAAAGTAAAGAGAGAGAAAAAAAAGAAAAGAGTAGATATTTTTATTCATATTTAATTTTAATACATCTTATATTTAATACAAATATTATAAGAAGATTATAATTAATGTTATAGATTATCCTATCAATATTTTACTTTCCATATGTTAAATCAACAATGATTTTAATGATTCGATGAATTTGTATATAAAATATACAATAAATTAAAGTACCTAAAGCAACAGCTACGAAAACCATTCCACCGCAAATAAGTAACCAAGAGCCAACAATTTTATCTGAATTTTTACTTGCCTTTGACGCATAGTTTATAGCTATTGTACCAGATTGTCTAAGTGATTCCTATAAATTATTAATAATGTTTAATCTGTTAAATATTAAATATATATCTCTCCTTACAATATTATCAATTAATATAATAAAATACCTTTGACAATAAAAATGAACTTCTTTTCATTGATCCAAAAACATTTTGGAATACATTTACTTTTGCCGTGTTATTGTTCGTTAATAAATTTCTCCAAGACGGTAAACATTTTGTTAAAGTGGAATTTGTTAAGGACTTGGAACAATATCGTGTCACGTTCAACATATTATTTAATTTTTATATAAAATTTATAATCTTATTAATTCAAAATATTATATCTTGAAGATAAATATAATTACGTTTCAAATTGTTTGTTGTTTCAAGCACTATTGTTAGTTTTTCTTTACGAATTGAATATTATATTTGACTTTAATAAAGTCTTTTCCTTAAAATATATTCAAATTAATTCTAATAAATAGAATCTTGCATGTAACGATGCAATTAAATAATTTTATATTATTATATATAATTGTCATTGTTCGTTGACAACATAATATATTTTAGAAAATTTGAGAAAAATCAAGCCGGCTTTTAATATCAAAGAGTAATATATACGATGAGTTTACTAAAAAAGCTTACTATATTATATATGTTGCCAACTTCTTCTGAATTAATATAGCTGTTACGTATCGTTTCTAACCTCAATAAGTGTACCAATACTAGAAGATAAAAAAGTATTCTTACCTCTTTGTTACGATAAATTAATTTCAGAGAGGTGTTGTTTTAATATAGCACAGTAATTTTATATTTTAGTATCCATAAAGTGAAACATATTGTATATATGTAATACGGTATATATAGAGTAGTTAATTTTTCAAATAAATACGTTAAAAATTTTTTATTCTATATAAGTACAAATTGGTATATTCGTTAAACATTTGAAATTATATTTAGAGTTATCTCTGTGATTGATAAAAATATTATCTGATAAAAATTTTCTTCTTCTGAGTAACAATCTTATGATTGTAAAAGTAATACATGATAATTTAATAATTTGTGAATATTAAAATAGGTAAAGTAGTATTCGGAAATTAACGATTACACAAAATAAAAAATTATTTTCTCTAGGTTAGTATGATCTGTTTAGTTATTATTTCTAATTTTTTTTTTCTTTCCTCCTTTTTTTGTAATATAGATATTCCAATATGGCACGAAGAACTGGAGCTGTAAAATTAGCGAAGCTACGAGAATTAATGAAAAATATTCAAGTTGGTGCTATAAAAGAGGAAGGAATTCAAGCTATTGTTGTAAATTCAGAGGATGCTCATCAGTCAGAATATTTGCGAGAACATGATCAAAGGCTTAAATTTATAAGTGGATTTACCGGATCTCTTGGTACAGCAATTATTACAATAGACAAAGCATTACTTTGGACAGACGGTAGATATTTTACTCAAGCTTCAGCAGAATTAGATCCATCAGAAGAATGGACTCTTATGAAGGAAGGTTTATTGGAGACGCCTACCATGCAGGCTTGGTTGGCTTCTAACTTGCCACCAAAATCTGTGGTCGGTGCAGATCCAAATTTATTAAGTTACACAAAATGGGTTACATTGCATACTGCCCTAATTGCTGCAGGACATACTTTATTACCGCTTGAAGAAAATTTAATAGATAAAGTATGGGGCAACGAACAACCATTACCAGCAGCAAATAACATCGTTCCTCAGTCATTGCATTTTTCTGGTAAAAGTGCAGGCGAAAAAATAAAATTGTGTCGCGATACTATGAAATTGACTAGTGCCAAAATATTGATTATTACCGCTCTGGATGAGGTTGCATACCTTTTAAATTTAAGAGGCTCTGACATTCCTTATAATCCTATATTTTTTGCATTTGTCATTATTACTATGGAAGAAGTACATATGTTTGTCGATGTTACTAGATTAACAGAACCAGCGAAACAACAATTGAAAAATGAAGGAGTAAATCTTACTTTCCATCCATACAATGATATACATAGGTTTTTAAAACAAAAAGCAGCTACTTGTTCAAACGACTTAATATGGATAAGTAATGGTTCCAGTTATGCTATTCATTCTGATTGTGGAGATATGAACAAGCATATAGCTATTTCTCCTGTCAGTGTAGCTAAGGCAATTAAAAATTCTATAGAAATAGAGGGAATGAAAGCTGCTCATATACGCGATGCTGTAGCACTTGTGAAATATTTTGCTTGGTTAGAGGATAAAATAAAAAATAAAAAGGAACCTGTTTCAGAGATTTCTGGAGCAAGTCAACTTGAAAAATTTAGAACGTAAGTATTTAAAGGATATAATTATTTTCATTGATCATCATATTAATATCGTTTTTGTTTCATATGTTACATACTCTCTTCTGTTTTCTTTTTCTTTTTTTCTTTTTTTTTCTTCAAGGGAACAAAAGCACTACATCGGGTTAAGTTTTACTACTATATCGTCGGTTGGTCCACATGGTGCCATAATTCATTATTCACCATCTCCAGAAACAGACGTTCCAATTACAGACAAAGAATTTTATCTTTGTGACTCAGGAGCACAATACAAAGATGGAACTACAGATGTAACACGAACTATACATTTTGGTGTACCTACGGATTATCAACGCGAATGTTTCACGCGTGTATTTAAAGGGCAATGTCGTTTGTCATCAACAATTTTTCCTTTAAAAACAAAAGGCAATTATTTGGATACTTTAGCCCGCGAAAGTTTATGGAGTGTCGGGTGTGTATATTTATTTGAATAACTTGATATATATGTTCAATGTAAATTTGTATATATATAAAAAAAAAAAAAAAAAAAAAAAAAAAAGAAAACAAATATTGCAGACTTAATTATTTACACGGTACGGGACATGGAATAGGATCTTATTTAAATGTTCATGAACAACCAATTGGTATATCTTGGAAACCATATCCCGATGATCCTGGCTTACAACCAGGAATGTTTTTATCCAATGGTAAATTATATTGATTATTATTTATTTAAATGTAATTTTTATAAACATTATTTAATATAAACAATTTCTCTTTAGAACCAGGATATTATGAAGATAAGGAATTTGGTATCAGGTTAGAGAACATAGAGTTAGTTGTAACAACGAAGACTCCATATAAATTTAAAAATATCAAGTTTCTTACATTTGAAACTGTAACGCTTGTTCCAATTCAAACTAATTTGCTCAATGTCTCTTTATTGACGGACGAAGAGGTACGTTTATTCCTACTTTTTATTTCTTACAAAAATAAACAAAAACTTAAAAAAGACATCATATACATATATATATATATATATATATATATATATATATATCATATTAATTAAGTATAAAATTATTAATACGAATTATTTTGTAATTACAGATTAATTATTTAAATAATTATCATGCAAAATGTCTGAAAACATTAAGCCCTTTGCTCCAGGATCCTGAAAATGATCAAGCGCTTCAATGGCTCAAAAGGGAAACGCAACCTATAAGCAAACAATAATTATATATCGCTCTGTGATGATTTAAAATGGAAAAAAGAAAAAATTATTCATTACTTTCATAAGAGATTTTTGTAATCTTCACATCGATAATATTTTTACAAATGATGTATACGCTGTTACTAATGGAAGATATTTTGTATACATTTGTGATATCATGTTATAAAAATGATTTAATTGTGAATGTAAGATGAATTTTTGTTATTAAGTTTAAAAAATGTTTTTTTTTTTTTTTAATTTTTTTTATATAAAATCTGGAGTACATACATATATATATATATATATATATATATATATATATATATATATATATATATATATATATATATATACATATATATTTTTTTTCTTTCATTTTAATAAAATTTTCTTTACGAATCCTGTAAAGATCATTTTTATATTTATATTTTAATTGTTTTTAGAACCAAAAAAAAATTATGTATAAAAATTGTATCTCCGTTAAAAAAAAAAAAAAAAAATCAATTAAAAGAAAATGAACGGCATATTATTTTCAATGCTTTTAATAAAAATTCAATATTAAAAATTTTCTCAGATATCAAATATAATAGAGCGTGTATTCTAAAAACTAAATTAAGAACAACTGCGTTTAATTGAAGCCATTAATACGGTACAGTAGTTATAACTTCACGCTAGAACGATCGAGCAAGAAGCAGACGTGTTTGATATAATCCACGTGGATCGATTACGACATTAGTAGCACGTGAGTGCAAAATTTATCGTACGTCCAATATATACGTATACACTTATATCCATATACATATATACACATATACATGGTATTTTAACACGAAGAGGTAATTCGAGTAATCGTTATATAAATTATATAACATCGTGCTTACATGAATATGTTTACATAGAAATGATGACTTCATTTTAACGATTTATCTGGATTTCGCGAATTTAATATATTATATCGTTTCTATGAAATGATATGCATAAACATATATATATATATATATATATATATTTATGTTTACGTATTAAAACGTTTGTGAATGCGAAGATTACAACCCTATCGTTTCTCCCGTTAATTTTTACGAATTTTAAATCCACCATCGAATTCTGATAACGAGTAGGCGTGCGCATGCGCGTCACTTTACGTAGGTTTTATGAATGGATGAACGAAGTGAATGAACGGACGAATGTCAGCTGGTAAGTTAGGTGTATATATATATATATATTGTATATACACATACAAATATATGTAGGTACATGGTTTGTATATATGTATATATATATAAATACACACACACACACACACACACATATCTAAACATACACGTGCGTGATAAATGCCAAGTATAAGAGATCATTTGACGCATTAATAGCGAATATATAAAACTCGTAAGGGAATCCCTTTGGCTTATATAGGTAACAACGTGACTAGAGGATAAGCAGCGAAATAAAATGGATGAACAATTTTGAAAGAGTGCTTGATAATGTCAAGCTATTTCAATGAAAACGCAATGTAATAAAGTTTTATTATTAAAAGTACATAAATGAGAATCGCGAAGTCACTTGGATTAGAAATTTATTTTGACAAGTGACAGAAATGACGGCAATGGATTATATACATAGATACATACATACGTACATACATACATACATACAATACATGTATACATACAAGTTCAGTTTGACATCGATCGGTTGATTTCAATGGTTACGTAAATGTGCTATTAATAAAATGTCTATTTGTAAGGATATATTTCGATAGATCGAAGATATTATTCGAGAGAATATAGAAGAAGAAGAAAAAAAAAAAGACCATTTAAATATATTTCTAATATAAAAGAATCTCATTTTAAATGGGAAATGTTTCCCCGATTAGAATGAAGACATTCCCTTTGGCGGGGTGTGCCTGTGTACATGAGAAAAAGAAAGAGAGAGAGATAGAGAGAGAGAGAGAGAGAGAGAGAGAGAGAGAGAGAGAGAGAGAGAGAACAGTAGAGCGCAACAATCGATACGGAACGGAGACAATGAGCGGAATGTTATATCAAGCGGTAAACGGCTCTTGAGTTCTCGAAATAGTAACGCCAACGTACGCGTCCCGTTTTAACATTCCCTATCTCTATCTCTTTCTCTGTCTATCTCCCTTTAGAAAGTAATCAACGTATCGTCGCTCAACACTATCGGGTTCGAATGATGAGTAAGGGGTTTGGGGGCCGAGGGGAGAAGATGGTAGTCGGTTAAGTCGACTTAAAGTCGCAGGTGAAC